CTCTCACTCTTCCTCTCCATTTCTCCTCCCCTCTCTTATTCGCCTCTCCGCTGACTCACTCTATTGCCTTCCTCCTCTCTCTCTCAAACCCACTCTCCTTCGCGCCCTTTCATTTCTCAGGCCTCTTGCTTTTTTCTCAATTCCCTTCTTTGCTCCTCTTCTCTTATCGCCGCCTCTCTTGTATCCGTTTTAATCTCTCTGTTTCTCCTAATCTACCTTCCTTGTTCCATCCCAAAGCTATCCACGCCACATCCTCGCAATCGCTTATCGACAATGTGGTGCCCAACAACCGATCAACATTAGCATACAACGACCAACATTTAGCAACAATTGAGCAAAAATCAGCAATCAACGATTAGCAGCGACGCTAACCACGGGCAAAAAATCATTGCTTTACCATCTTCACATGTTTCAACCGCGTCTTCTCCTTTGTCGCCACCCACGCACGCGCGCGTGACGCGTGACAGTCGCCGTATGTCCGCTGCGACAATCGTCCCACCCGACACGGTACTCGCTCGTTTATTCGATCCATACGTGAAGCTTTGCCGCTCTCCAACCTGCGCTCAATGCCGCGGAAGCGTAGACGTTAGCCGAGCAGTGAATTCGGGTTTTCTGTGTTGGGCACGCGCTGCTAAGTCGTGGGTCTGCTACGCACAGAGCCGGATCAAGGGAGGCGGGGGGAGGGCATACAGACAATGCTCGCCTCTATGTCACAATGTTGTTGGTACGCTTATGCAATGAATGTTCTTTTTGGCTATCCTTGCTACGTTGCCCGCCTTTCTCTCTCTACCCTCGTCTCTCTCTCTCTCTACTCGCTCTCTCTTCTCTCGTCTCTCTCGTTCTCCCTCACTCTCATCCCCTCATCTCCCCAGCTCGCTTAAACGTTCTCTCTCTCAGACTCTCTCGTTCTCTAATTCTCTCGCTGGCAATCTCTATAGGTTTTTCGCTGTCTCTCTCTCTCTCTCTCTCTCTCTCTCTGTTTCTTCTTCACTCGCCATTTCCCATCTCTCTCGCTCGCTCGCTTAAACGTTCTCTCTTTTTCTGACTCTCTCGTTCTCTAAATATCTTGCTGGCAATCTCTATAGGTTTTTCGCTGTCTCTCTCTCTCTCTCCCGCTGTCGTCCTCTTCTCTCCTGCCCATTCTCTCCCATTCACTCTCGCATATCTCTTCGCGCTCTGTCTCCCTCCCCCGCTCTCTCTCGCTCTCTCTCTGTTTTTCCCTCTCTCTCTACCATGTTGATAGGCCCTTGTGTACATGAGACCTTCAATAGACCAGGCATTAACCGACCACGGCGTCGCTCGGTAAAAAACAACAAATAGAGAAAGGTGATCCGCCGCTAGCCTCGATAACAAGGTCTTTGGAAAGGTCGCATTCAATCTGATATACACTGCTTTACATGTTAGCGTTTGCTTGCGCATCCGAATCCACACGAAAATGGTGTATCAACAGTTTTGACAGAATTCCCTCATCGGTGACGCTGTTTTTGCTACAGGACATAATTGCCACCCGAGAGATTTTTCTCCGTATTTGAGATCTGTGCCCGGAATCAGTGAACAGCAAAAAAAGCACGAGAAATATTTCTCCGTCATTTAGAACTGTGCGCGGGGTCAGTGAAGGAAATGGTTTCTGTCGATATTGAGCAGGGCTGCAGAGCAACAAGCGATATACCTGTCGTCTGCGCGCTTTCGTCACGTGCCTGGCGTCATCGGAACATGAACGCGACAGTGCGATGACGTGGCTGCAATTAACGACCGCTCATTCACGCGTGCGCGATGCCACCGCCATCTCAGTGCTCGCTCACCATGCATGCATGCGTGCGTGCGTGCGTGCGGGCGTGCGTGCGTGCATGCATGCGTGCGTGCGTGCGTGCGCGTGCATATCCATGCGGATATGGCTTCATTCAATTTGTTTAATCTCGTCATCTTCCGTACGTCATCGTCGTCACGTATAAATCTATACTCTCTATATACTATAGAGTGAATCTCATCAAACGTAGCTTATGACTGTAGGTACACGTCATCACACGGCAGACAGACAGACGCGCTCATTTCCTATGCGAAATATTTCGGTTAAGAACGGAGGCTTACGGAGCAAGATTACCGGCCAGTAACACATCTAATGTCACAGTGTATCGGTGGGGGATTATATTGTTAGTAATGATTGTTTATGTGATCGCGTGTGTAACGACTCGTGGTACATGCGCAGTGATTGTTGGAACGAGAAATAGTGTTATAATATAAAGCAAGGCTAACAGCTACATCGTAACGGAGATTCTATCTGTGTGATGCCGCGCAGCGTGTCTGTTACCATAAGACCACAGTAGCCGTTCAGTCAGTCAGATGTCCTATAACAGCACAAAATTTCACTGCTGTGGAAAAACTTCTGAGAGAGACTTTGTTCTGATATAAACTCGGTAGCATTGAAAACCCTCTCTAAGGTTTGACAGAAGTCCACTTGGTTCTCGGATAACAACAATCAAGGTCCCCCGGCAAGGGAGGGCAAATAGGGGGGGGGGCAGATGCGTGTAGATGGTCTATTACGTGGCTAATAATTATTATTATTGATAGTAACAAATGACGGCCCACCCACAATCAGCTGCCCACAACTCGCGCGTGGCTTTGCCTCCAAGGAAAATTAGTTTGCTACGACCTTGGCAGAGTGATCTTTGACCGAGCTTGGCTACGCGCAGTAGACAAATCTCATCGGTGGCGCCCTCTGCCACGCGTTTCATCGGTGGCGCCCTTTGCTACGCATCTCATCGGTGGCGCCCTCTGTTACGCGTCTCATCAGTGGCGCCCTCTACTACGCATCTCATCAGTGGCGCCCTCTGCTACACATTTCATCTGTGGCGTCCTCTGCTACGCATTTCATCTGTGGCGTCCTCTGCTACGCATTTCATCTGTGGCGCCCTCTGCTACACATTTCATCTGTGGCGCCCCCTACTACGCATCTCATCGGTCGCGTCTCATCATGTGGCGCCCTCTGTTTGCAGGAAGCATCATGGACGTCGTGCATTTCATCGACGTGCGTGAGCAGATACAGCTGGTGCTCAACGGCTCGGCTGGCGACCACATCTTCAAATTCTTTGCCGTCAACGCGACAACAGCCGACGTCCTGCTGTCGCAGCGACTCGACCGCGAGGTGGGTGACGCGGCGCGACGGTGGCGCCGCGTATGGGGGACGCGGGTGAGAGAGCCCGTGTATACAGAAAGACCTGTTAGTGTGGGTAAGCGCTGACCGCGTGTCGTCATGGTGCAGTGACGCGAACGAGGTGGGTAGCGAACAAATTCAGAACAAGATTCCCGATTAGAGGCACACAAGCGCGGAAGATTTGTAGGAACGTGAAACGGGGGGTGCATGGAGAGAATGCTGGAACATGGCCACGCAAATTGAACGAGCAATAGACCGTGAAAGGACGTTGAAGATGGTGAACGTTAGGGAGTAGTGGTCGGCGAAAATAATAATTTTTTTTGGGGTAGGGGTCAGTCGTGGATTCAAGGGTTAGGCTAAGGCTAAGGTTTAGCTTACGGTTATATTTATAGTAGAAAGCAGGGTTGACTTTAGGTTGGGTTAAGGTTTGGGGCTATATGGAATTGGAGTATGTTGGAGTATGTTGGAGTATGTTGGAGTATGTTGGAGTATGTTGGAGTATGTTGGAGTATGTTGGAGTATGTTGGAGTATGTTGGAGTATGGAATTGTATTATGTTGGAATTGGAGTTGACCATGCAGTGAGTTCCGCTACCGTTACATCCACGAACTGCCTTCGAATGAGGTATACTCCGTGCAAATCTGCCAGTGTGTCATGTCATGTGTTAATACCAGGAGTCTATCAATTGATAGACTCCTGTTAATACGTACATCATTATTACCGTGGACAGGTAGATAGCATAGTTTTTCTTACGGATTGCTACACAACAACTGTGTCATTGTTTAAACATTTACCTCGATCTATGATGACTTTGTAACGAGCGCTTGCTATTGGGTTATATAGGTCAATCATTGATTACCCATCTCAATTTTTAATGATCTATCTCTATTAAATAGTCGTTATGTTTTGGAGTGAGGATTCATGTTATACGGTTTAGTACTAACAACGTTAAACTACCCAAATGTTCTTTTCACTGCACTACTTTTATACACAGTGACTATTGTGAAGGTATATATGTTTGTAGGTTATTTATTATGCCTATATGTCCGCGCGTGGGCGCGCAGGTTTGCGAGTTTGTGTGGGTCCGTGCGTGGATTGGTTCTGCGTGCGTGCGTGCATGTGCGCGTGTGTGTATGCTATCTATATCCTCCGCATCAACGCGCGATCACGTGTAATAGTGGCTTCGATATGCAAATGAGCAGATCACGTGCGCGCAGCACGTGTAATACATGTAAACTTGATGTAAATAATGAACGCTACCCTAACTTTCAGTTTCGCACAGCTATGCGTACGTGGTATACAGCGGTACGGCACAGTACTCAGCTGTGTATACTTGTCAGTTTAGTATTTATGACGCCCTGGCACACTCAGGCAAAGATTTATACTCAACGCTGCTGACATCGTGTTTATAGCTTTGCCCCTAGGGACACCTCGCTTTAGTTTTATCACAACAGGAGTTATTGCTGGTTGTGATGCCTTTGTGTCATCCCCTCCTATACCTGACCTGTTTATTGTTCTCCGTGTGTGTGTGTGTGTGTGTGTGTGTGTGTGTGTGTGCGTGCGTGCGTGCGTGCGTGCGTGCGTGCGTGCGTGCGTGCTTGTGTGTGGCAGTGTATGTGTGTGCATGGCTATCAGTGTAAGCTCCAAACATCCAAACATCCAAACATAAGGTCGCTGCCTGTGGTGTTGCTGTCTGCCTGTTGTCATCTGTCTGCATGTTGCCCATGCGAATATATATTGCTCTCTGTGAGTCAAATCCTTCAAGAAATTCTTGAATTTGCTTGAATTTCTTTAATCTGAATACCTTGCTGTGTGTGTGTGTGTGTGTGTGTGTGTGTGTGTGTGTGTGTGTGTGTGTGTGTGTGTGTGTGTGTGTGTGTGCGTGCGTGCGTGCGTGCGTGCTTGTGTGTGGCAGTGTATGTGTGTGCATGGCTATCAGTGTAAGCTCCAAACATCCAAACATCGAGCGTGCGTGCGTGCGTGCGTGCTTGTGTGTGGCAGTGTATGTGTGTGCATGGCTATCAGTGTAAGCTCCAAACATCCAAACATCGAAACATCCAAACATAAGGTTCTGCGTGCGTGCGTGCATGCGTGCATGTGTGTGTGTTTGTGATCGTGTGTGGTTCGTTATTGCGCATGATTGACGTGACAGCACGTGATATATACGCACTGCGTTTACCGTGCTATAGCTGCCCGCGCTCTTTGCAAGCTCTTACAAACAAACACAAGGTTTCCGTGTTTGCTAAGCACGCGAAAAACGGGGGAAAACTGTAGTAGTAAAGACGTGTACGATGCGCTCCTATACCGACAGTCGATTTGCCGTGACAGAGAATACACGTGCAGAAAGTTTTTTCAGTAATTGCCATCGTATATAAATGAGAATGTAGTTGTTCTGTTCTCGTTGTTACGATTCCGCGTAACTGCGTCTACAATGATATTAATAGTGCGTGTATTCCTTGAACGATTTTATACGCTTAGAGAGATAGTAAACTAAGTACGCGCGTGTGTGTGTACGTATGTGTGTACGTGTGTGTGTACGTATGTGTGTACGTGTGTGTGTACGTATGTGTGTACGTGTGTGTGTACGTGTGGACGTGGAGGTGGGGTAATGCTGGGTGAAGGGTGGATTGCTGCTACACCGCTAATAACAATGTTGATGATGGTGATTATGATGATGATGATGATGATGATGATGATGATGATGATGATGATGATAATGATGATGATGATGGCGATGATGATGATGATGATGATGATGATGATGATGATGATGATGATGATGATGATGATGATAAAGCTAACAGTGATAGTAACAACTCGCCTTGACGGCGACGATGACGACACCGACGATAGCACCGACGGCGGCGACCTCATGGCAGTTGTTACACGGATCGCCATAAGAAGACCGTCCACGCGTTTACTGCATCCGCAAAAAATCAGTAAAGAGGTTCTTGCAGTGATTCTTGCCTCGCTGATTGTACGTAGAGGTCACGCAATGCTAGTCAAGCGTCTGATTCCATCACTGAAATGCTATCAATGTTGACAATGTAGAAGCTCCACGCACGCACGCACGCGACCATCTCTGCATGGTTTTTCTTTACACTCCTTTTTGCAACTGAAGCCGAAAACGAGGCAAAAACACATCGCATTGAGTCGCCGGTCAAATGTTATATGTCGCCGGAGTGTATCACTGATAGTTGTCGCTGAAGACATAACGCACGCAGGGAGGGGTCGAGAAAGGCAGGAGAAAAGGGGAGCGAGCGAAAGAGAGGAGAAAATAAATGAAGCGAGAAGAGAAAAAAAGAGAGAGAGAGGGGGAATATGATGCATATATTATACTATAGTTGTTTCTGTCTGTGTGTGTGCCGCAATTTTTCTATTTGGTTTTTGTCTGCTTTCGTTTTCTTTTGGGTTTTCCCTCGTGTATTTACGCGTGTTTGCTTCACCTGTTTTTGAATTTGCTTCGTGTGTTTGTTTCGTGTATTTACTCATTTTATCATGTGTGTATGTGTGTTTACTTTGCGTGCTTTCGTATATCTATTCGTGTTTGTTTCGTGTATTTACATGTGCACGATGTTGTTTGCTTTTATCGTGATTTCCTCGTGTTTGTTTTATCATGGTCCGTCTTCCATTTGGTGATTATTGCTTTTGACCTACGTCTGTTATCATCGGTGTATCGAATAATTCTGGGAAAATAGTTAGTGCCATCCTTAAGGTTATTGTAAGAGTTATGATTAGTGTTAGGGTTAGAGTTAGGGATAGGGTTAGATCTAGGGTTAGGGGCTAGGCGTAGGGTCAAAAGGTAGGGCTAGTATTAGGGCTAGAGTGATTGGGAGTTGGAGTTAAGGTTAAGTGTATGGTAAGAGATGGGGTTGGGGCTAAAGATAGGGTTATTGTTAGTGGTAAGGTTATAGTTAGAATTAGGAGTGTGGTCAGGGTCAGAGTTCGGGTTTGGGTTAGAATTAGTTTTTGGACTATTGTTATCGATGGAGTTAAGGTTAGTGTTAGGGTTAGGGTTAGGTTAAATGTCAGGGTTAGGGTTAGGGTTAGGGTTAGGGTTAGGGTTAGGGTTAGGGTTAGAGATTGGGTTAGGGTTAGGTTTAGAGTAAGGGTTTAAGGTTAGAGATTGGGTTAGGGTTAGGTTTAGAGTGAGGGTTACGGTTAGAGATTGGGTTAGCGTTAGGAGTTTGGATTAGGGTTAGGTTTAGAGTTTGTGTTAGGGTTAGGTTTAGAGTTTGGGTTAGGGTTCGAGTTTGAGTTAGGGTTAGCGTTTGAGTTAGGATTTGGGAGTAAATCTCAATGTTGCAACGTCTCCCGGACATTCGATATTATCTCAACGGAACATTGTCCCAGAAACTATACAATTTCACTACAGCAAATAGTTTTTCATTTTCAAATCCGTATTATAAAAGCTGACTTGCAATCGTTCTGTTTCGCTTGTAGGTGAAAGATTACTACCTCGTTCGGTGGTCATATCAAGACAGTGGTCAGCGAGAAATACCCTACGTACGTATCTTGCGTCCACTCTTGTCCACATCATCACGTTAATAACACTCACTAATTCCCATCGCTGCTCTGTTCCAATCGAACTGCCTCGATCGTAATTAATTTCACGCAGGGGCGGATTCAGACCGTATTTGCCGTATTGGGAAATACGGTCTAGATTTCAAAGTGCCCTTCAAAATTTTGCGCTCACTGTGGGGTGGTGTGCCCTTTTTGGGCGATGTGCCCTTTAAATCTGGAAAAAATACTGTCTAGCCCTGGAACCGGCCCTGGCACGTGCCTCGCTGTCAGTTCCCATCCAGTAATTAACCCAGCACAACTCGTTATCATAATTACGTTAACACAATGTTGTCGCTGCGTCGACGTTCCGTGTCGTAATAAACCCGAAAAAGAAAACATGGCTTTTGCCACCGCAACGGTTCCCATAATGGGTGCCGCCATTGTAGTAATCGCGGTCACGTGACGTGCGCTGCACGACGCCGCCAATTATTGTGCGATTATGCAAAATTTAGTCGAAACATAATTACAGCTAATCGCTTTATTGCCTTTGATCAACAATGCATGCGAGCCGAGTCGGTATTTTCTGTATACTTTACTGATTGCAGTCAACGGCGCTGTGCCAATGCTAGACGAGAACCGTACTATAATAGGTTAATTACTTTCACGCTGGTAATACTGTGTCAGCACTGTACGACAGGCACTGCTACTGTAACATGTGCACTGCTACATGTAAACGCGTCTTAATGCGCAGCGTCGGCAATAAGCCAAATCGGAAAGTCCTCGCCGCCATATTGATATCAGATAAGAGGGTGTATAAACTGCCCTTTTATAACATGGGTGGGGTAGAACTATTCTAGGTTTTTGAGCTATAATTCTCTTCACTAACATCGTACCTCAATTCACAGGTGCGTTACTGTTTACATAAACATTTACAAATATGACTGTGATCGTTTGGGATATTTTGCAATGTTTGTGTTAATGCAAAAACTAAAAACTCACGAGTGGATACTTAACGCATGCCTACTCTGTATGATGCACATCGTTTATTGAAAGGCCCTTGATGTACACGCGCTTGTTTGATGCGTATTTGATTGTCGTATAATCCACGAATCTAAACTCGATGTGCCATCACGTCCTCGCTGCTATTCTTCACTGTTAGCCGTACAATATTGTTTAATGTATGTATGTATTCGGTGATATTTGCGGCTTTATATCGCACTCACAGATTTCGATGTCGACGCAAGTTTACGTGTTGGATGTTAACGATAACAGGCCAGAGTTCACACTCGTACCAAAAGACCAGAAGGTAGCGGTGGCCGAGGTAAGCAACGACTGTCTCTCTTCTCCTTCTCATCTCAACTCCTCTTTTCTCCTCTCCTCTCCTCTCATATTCTCTCCTATTCTCTTATCACCCTTTCCCTCTCCTTTCCTTTCCTCTACCCCACTATCCTTTCGCCTCCTCTGCTCGTCTTTCCTATGCTCTCCCCCCGTCTGTCCTCTCCTCTCCTCTCTTCTCTCCTCTTTTCTTCTCCTTTCCTCTCATCTCCTCGCCTCTCCTCTCTTTTTCCTCTCATCCCTTCGCTTCTCCTCTCTTCTTTCCTCCTCTCCTCTCCTCTCCTCTGCTTGCCTCTCCTCCCCTCTCAGTTGTCATAACTTGTATATGTGTGCAACGTATAGCGGGAATCCGTGTGTACTACATGTGCTACCAGTACTATACTTCGACGAGACAGAAAGAAAGGGGGAGAGAGACTGCGTGTCTTTGTGCGAGAGAAAGAAAGCAATGGAGAGAGAGATAGTGTGCAAGAGAGAGAGAGAGAGAGAGAGAGAGAGAGAGAAAGAAAGAAAGAAAGAGATGGAGAGAGAGAGAGAGAGAGATAGAGAGAGAAAGAAAGAAAGAAAGAGATGGAGAGAGAGAGAGAGAGAGCGTGTGTGTGTAATACCATCGTGGGAAAAGCTGATATTGCGCAGATTTGTGATTCTTTCTTTCATGATTGGCGATTTATGGTTTGGAATGTTGGTAGTTTCGTCTGTACAAAGCGAGATACACGCCTTCAACGAATGTCCGCACAGAGCGTCTAGTGAAATTAAAGCAGTAGCTAAGACAAGATAAACATGCAGGGTGTTCACGATACAATAAATATACCATACTGAAAGGAATGCCGCGGAACTGAGAGGGAGGAATGGAAATAATGGGTTAAAGTCTGTGCGACCACTAGGAAAGCTGGGGGGATGGGGGTGACGGTCACCAATTGAGTCAGCTTGTCAAAAATGTGAAATTCACATTGTGTTTGTGTTCTCGTGGAGTTAACACACGGTAGCTAGACTACATCAGTCACCCGGCAACAGCCCCCTCCCATAATATATATATATATATAAATTAATTAAAAGAGGCTTGTAATTGGCCGCGGAATTACGGAAGTAAATATCAGGCCGCTAAATCTCTGCGCGCTCCACGCAGCACACACACACACACCATGCACAGGGATAATTATCCCTCCAACCATCATCGCCTGTTCGGAAAATATAACGCACGCGAAACTCTTTTTTCCCGGCACGCTCGTTCCCTGCTGCCCGCGGCGGCACGACCAGAGAGGGGAGCGGTGTCGAGTGGGAACCACTTAGCGTCTGATTGCTACGTTGGGCGATGTAGCCTGCGTGCCTCGTGCGTTCCTCCCCCTCCTCCCCTCATCCCCTCCTCCTTAGCACCTTCTCCCTGCGGTACAATGTCCCGCCTTGTGTCGTAGCGTGCCGACGCGCTAATCGGAGGTGAAATACTCCACTTTTGACGCGCAAGTATAATATTTGTCTTGCGAATTTCTGCCGGTGAAGTGACAGGGGCGCAGGGCCAACGGGCTAAACCCCGTGGGGACGAGAGAGAGAGAGAGAGAGAGAGAGAGAGAGAGAGAGAGAGAGAGGGGAGAGAGAGACAGGGCGAGGGGGGGGGAATAGACCAAATAAAAATATAATTAGATATAGTTACTATAGAGAAATTGTAGATAGACAAACAGGCAGAGAGAGAGGGAGAGAGAAATAGATAGATAGAGGAGAAGCGAGAGGGGACAGAGTGAGGGAGAGCGAGGGGGTATGTAGAAGGCGTTAGTCTCTCTCTCGCGCGCTTTCTCTCTCTCATCTATGGAAGAGTGGGGGTCAGTCGAGTCAGTTTTTACAATTTCGCACCCACAAGGCAAAATAAATAACCGTAGACGAAAAATATAACGTATATAACCCTATAGTGTATTGCTGTCCAGCCCTGTATAACGCACATACTATCGGCATGGGACGAAATGGGCTTGTATGTCAATGACGTTGACAATGACGTTTACAATGACGTTCGAATGACGTTGTCAAATCGCTGAATGTACCAAAATCTTACTTGACATTCGCCCCCCCCCCTTCATCCGTCCCTCTGCGCTAAGGTGCCTGCTCTATATGGCATGGAAGCTGCTGTGTGTGTCTGGTAACGGATGCATGGGGTTATTAGATGGGATTAAGAGAGATGGCTGTCGACAAGGGTCTAGCTTGACAGCCGTCGAGGAGGATTACAGAGCGTGGGACGTAGGATTTATGAGAAAGAGATAAGGTGCGTGAAAGACAGTTAAAGACCGAGGTAGAGAGAGAGAGGGAGAGAGAGAAAGAGAGAGAGAGAGAGAGAGAGAGAGAGAGAAGAGAGAGAGAGAGAGAGAGAGAGAGAGTGAGAGAGAGTAGAAGAGAGAGAGAGAGAGATAGATAGATAGAAAGGAAAGAGCGGGGCGCGCAGCCCACACATACGCAGGCACGCACGCACGCGCGGCGCACACGACCTACACAACACACACTCACGACACACGACACACACACACACACGACACACACACAGTCACACGACACATCACCACCAGCGGCATAAACCACACCAAAGCACAGGTGAGACTCGCGCACACACACACACACACACACACGCACACACATATACACGGCGCACACACACAACACAGCGCACACACACTCACAGGGCACACACACACACACACACAACACACACGACACACACACACACACACAGCACACACACTAACAGGATGGCGATGTCATGGCAGCGATGAAAAACTAGTTTCAAACGACAGCGGCGAGCAGTAGCAAAGTTGTTATACATTATGGTCTCAGCCATGATCGCGCGAGTCACGGATTATAAGAAAACGGCGCCGCAGTCTATCGACTCGTTGCAGTATAGTTACGCTTTAGCGTCGCTCTCCACTGTTTGCCACATGCCCACCCGCAGCATCGCTATATTAAGGCGTGGCTCTCATTCATTGCACTGCGTTCATCCCCTCGCTGCTCAACGGCCTACCGCGATGGAGACTTCGGCTGAGTGGATAAGGGAGGAAAGAGAAAGAGAACCAGAAAGAGAGAGAAAGTAGAGAGAGGGAACAAGAGAGAGAGAGGGGGGTAGGGGGGACAAGAGGGTGGATGGAGAGATGGAGGGCAACTAGAGAGAGAGCGGGCGAGCGAGAGAGAAATAGAATAGAGAAGAGAGAGAGAGAGAGAGAGAGAGAGAGAGAGAGAGAGAGAGAGAGTAAAGAGAAGAGAAGAGAGACAGAAAGAAAAGAGAGTAGAGACGAGGAGAGACGAGACGAGAGGAAGCAGCGAGAGAAAGAGAGAGTAGAGAGAGAAGGAGGCAGGACATTTCTGTTGTGCCTAACGCACCGCGCGCTGTGGTTTGCGGAGAAAAACTTATCGCCCATGCTCTCACGGTATTTCGGGCCAAATTTTGTTTTGCATTTATCTGCCCTTGCGTTTGCTTATTTGCTCTCACGCCACCCTCTTATCGCATACACTTTAAATGCGCGGCGTAACCTTAAATTTCACCATGACGACACGGCCGCGAGATATGCTCTGTGGCGCCTCTGGTGGAGGCGGCGGCGCAATGGCGGCCGTTGCCATGACGACGGGGCAGGTGTGTGTACCTTCATGGCGGTGCGCAACTGCGTGATTGCGTGCGGCAGGGGGTGCATAGCAGCAGCTGGGCAGACGGCAGGTCCGTCGTGTGTGCGTGCGGGCGTGCGTGCGTCGCCGCCGTGCGTGCGTGCGTGCGGCGTGCGTGGCGTCGCGTGTGCGTGTGTATGTAGCAGCGTGTATGTGTTGTGTGTGTGTGTGTGTGTGTGTGTGTGTGTGTGTGTGTGTGTGTGTGTTGTGTGTGCGTGTGCGTGTGCGTGTGAGTCGAGCGGCGTGCGTGGCGTGCGTGTGTGTGTTGGTGTGGTGTGTGTGTGTGTGTGTGTGTGTGTGTGTGTGTGTGTGTGGTGTGGTGTGTGTGTGTGTGTGTGAAAGCGTGAGTATATATATATTATCTCGCTACATTCAACCTGCGTCCGTCCATCTATCCGTCGATATCTAAAGACATAGATCGATCTATCGATTCTTTAATGGCCTCTCGACTGCTTGCGTTCTGTTCTAACCTTTTGCGTATAAACGGCAATTACATATAAATAACATATTGGGCAAGGACGAATTATTTAAGGCTCTTGCAATCGCCATATAATAAAAAAATTAATTAAATTCCTTTAATTCGATTAATTAATTTTAAATGAAGCTTTTCGTCAATTATTTATTAATTAACAACTAATTAACACAAGCGTCTTACGCATGAGAATTTGAACTAATGCGGAAGATGATGTCGATTAACTTAAAAACTGATGTTTCGCTATCAGCTTATTGATCTGCATTGTTCGCGTATCTTTATACGCGCGCGCGCGTGTGCGGGCGGTGTGTGTGTGTGTGTGTGTGGGGGGGGGTAGCGATGGCGTGCGTGCGCGTCAGTGTGTGCGTGCGTGCGCGTGTGTGTGCTCGTGTGCGGCATGTGTATGCGTGAGTGTGTGTGTGTGTGTGTGTGTGTGTGTGTGAGTGTGTGTGTGTGTGTGTGTGTGTGTGTGTGTGTGTGTGTGTGTGTGTGTGTGTGAGTGTGTGTGTGTGCGCGCGCTCAGCGTGTGTGTGTCTGTGTGCGTGTGCGTGCGTATGTGTGGTGTGTTGGTGTGTGTGTGTGTTTGTGCGTGTGTGTGTGTGTGTGTGTGCGTGTGTGTGTGCGTCGCGCGGTGCGTGCATGTGCGCGCGCGCGTGTTGTGTGCGCGCGCGCGCGTAGTGTGTGTGCGTGTGTGGTGTGTGTGTGCGCCGCGCTGTGTGTGCGTCTGCGTGCGTGCATGTGTGTGGTGTGTGTGTGTGTGTGTGTGTGTGTGTGTGTGTGTGTGTGTGTGTGTGTGTATGCGTGTGTGTGTTTGTGTGTGTGTGTGTGTGTGTGTGTACTGTGTGTGTGTGTGTGTATTGTGTGTGTGCCGTCCGCGTGCGTGGCGG